TACAGGGAGGTTACTTTTAAAGATTTCCTTTAAACTCCAGTATCCTTTCCATGTCTGTTGTATTCTTCTTTCGACTTCAAGCTCGTTATTTTTTCTGTCAAAACTGATTTGCTTCCCAAGATAGATGTACTTGTCTGTATATTTTAGTGGCTCTCCATTTATTGTTATTAATCTTCTCACCTTGTTCGTCATTGCCATAGTTTTAGTGAGATGCATTTGTAATCCCACCTTGACACTAACTAGATGTAAAGTTTCGATCATGAGCTGTAACTGGGTGCTGGACTCCGACAACAACACTAGGTCGTCTGCGAATCTTAAGTGGCTTAAATATTCGCCCTTTATACACAGTCCTGTCTTGCTCCAATCCAGCTTGCTCATTATAGCCTCCAGTATGGCTATAAATATTTTTGGGGATAACGGGTCGCCCTGCCTTACACCTCTTTCTATAGGAAAACTAGGTCCGAGGGTTTCTAGCTTGATTTTACCCTTGTTGTTGTTATATATGCTTTTGATGGCCTTTATATATACGTCTTCTACTCCCTGTTGTTTTAAGCTTTCCCATATACTTATGTGTGTTACCGTATCAAAAGCTTTTTGATAATCAATAAACGCTATGTATAGTGGTCTCTGTTGTTCTTGATACTTTTCTATAATTAGTTCAAGTGTGTGTATATGGTCAACAGTAGAGAATCCTTTTCTGAAGCCTGCTTGCTCTACCGGTTGTTTTGCTTCCAGTGTACTACTGATTCTTTTATTTATAATGGTAGAGAAAACTTGGTAACAAGCTTGGTAACAAGCTTATCGGTCTGTAGTTGCCAATATCCTTCGGATTTCCCTTTTTGTAAAGAAGTAAATGGGTATAAGTACCGATAAATTATGGAGTATATAAATAGTCTATTGTATGTATCTATTCTCTTATTTATGAAAAGTTTGCACAATCGAGACCAGGTTTCAATGTGTTCATTCTAAGACACATTATGTTGTAATGATGAGAAATTACCGTCCCTCAACTATTTAAGTGATAGGAGCTAACATACTCCTTAAAACATATACGTATATTTAGCAATCATTAACAATAATACGTAGAGGTCGGTGCAGATTCGCACATTTAAATCACCTTATTATTTGGATTTATTTTAGAGAGACTTGGAGTACGTGAGGTTTCTTTCCAAGTTTGAGCCGTCTGGTTTAGGAAAAATCTTCTGCTTATTTTGTTTTATTGTGTGATGACGGGGTGGAAAATCCCTTCAGATCTCCGGTTCCTGGAAACACTCTCGCAACGAAGTAGGCGTCAGGAGTTTGAGGCGCTTTTACTAAAAACCACGCACCTACTGTGGGGAAGACCTGGCTCACGTGATTTCAATGTCGCCTTCGAATCGACGTTGCGTCGATTCAGGCTCTATTCCGGAGGAAACCGTAAGCTTCTGTGGTCAGACGCGAATAGACGTAATATCATCGCCTCGCGGTCAAAAAAGCAGCCCCACCTTGCTGTCTACGCAGCGTCTAAAGGAAAATAAGTAGGAAGTACGAAGTACGTAAGTAGAAAAGTAAAAAAGTAAGGCAAATGGCAATGATGGGGCAGGATATTACGGATATTATTCATGGATGTGTGGACGAATACGAGCGGGTCAGGAATTGGCTACTACGAGAAAGTCTCGACCATCTAACCGAGCGCCTGTGGAAATAATCATAGCAATACTTTAAAATGAAGTATGCAACCACTTGGTTTCAAGGAGTTTTAGTGACTGTTACATTAAATAAAGTCGTGCCTATATCCCCGAAGTAGCCAACTACAACTTTAGTCCCGCTTATGTACTACGGGACAAGCTTATTGGACACTTTAGGACAAAGATGGGCAAAATTGAGAGTAGGTATAAAGGTAGGAAGTATAAAAAAGGGATGTAAAAAGGAAAGTCAAAGGACAACATCCTTTGACTTTCCTTTTTACATCCCTTATCCCCTATCCCCTTATACGGATGGGTCACCACACGATACTCATTACAATAGAGTAGATCAGAATAAACTAAGTCTCAGCCATCTAAACGAGCGCCTGTACAAATAATCATAGAAATACTTTGGAAATAAGTAATGTGCTATGCAACGAATATGTTTCAGTGGGTTCGTAAATAATGTAAGTAAATAAATAAAAGGAAATAAGTATGTCAGTTGATACGAAAAATAAAAAATAGTTGAAAACATAACAAAACCAATTTCAAAAAGCTATGTTTCCGCCCGGGATCGAACCGGGGGCCTTCTGCGTGTTAGGCAGATGTGATAACCGCTACACCACGGAAACCGATGACCATATATCCGAAATTATAGTTCAATTTGTCACACTAACTATTTACGTAACAATGAATATAAATAAATTTGATATGACGTAGCCCTAAATAATAAAATTTTATTGACAAAAATACCTCTCATTTTGTCATTTTCACTGAATAATAAGTAAATAAGTAAATGTTCTCCATTACGTCCTACCTAATACTAAATACCTAAACATTTTATATATTGGGTAGGACATAATGACGAATATCTCGTCTGTTTATCTAAGTTAAAAAAAAAGAATGTTCACAATAAAGCTTTATTACAGTAAAAAAATCTTATAAATTGTAAATAAAAGAAACCACACATGGCAGTTCATTTTTTAAGCTCAATATAATTTTCTTAGTCTATTACAATTAAAACTTATAAAATTCACTTAAACAAATTGTTAAAGAAACGGAATGATTAAAACCTGAGCCATAGATATGTTTTTTTTTTTTATCATAAACCGGACACATTTTTACTTGTTATGCATTTAGTTTTTTGTTTTACGATTTGCGCAAGATGGCTGGCAGGAGCTGGATGCGAGAAGCCCAAAATCGATCTAAGTGGCGTGCAATGGGAGAGGCCTATGTCCAGCAGTGGACTGCGATAGGCTGATGATGATGATGATGATGATGATGCATTTAGTGAATTCCAATAAAACTATTTGCTTTACTCGAGATTTACTACTTATATTGAATATCTTTGCCAATTTTTTATTAATAAACACAAACACACATACACACACATAAATGGCGTCACAGATTAGATCAGAAAATTGAGAATAGAAACCTAGAGCGCGCAGAGAGGATTTTTTTAAGACACTCAAAAATAAACCTTACCAGTATTGCTATAAAGTGCATACAAGTTTGACAAGACAATGCTCGCGCGGCCGTTTATATGCATACACTTTATGTCACTAATTTTAAAGTTTATTTTCGAATATCTTAATAAGATCCTCTCTGGTCTTAGTCCTCTTGGTGTGCGCTTGCCTAAAAGGAAACAGAGATAAAAAGAGAAAGAAATGGTAGGAATGGCATTTAGCTTTCATGAATGGATTGGGAAATGCCAGAGATAGCTCAAGCGAGTCAAGGTTGTATACCTGTATTGCCTATTGCTAGAAAGTTCGAGCCTAACAATAAGTCTTCATTTTTAGGTTTTTTTTTCAGCAGTTTTATCCTATTTTTTTTATTTATACCCTCAGCCATTTTATATATAGTCTCATCAGTTTCAAGCAAGTTGAATCAACAGTTTTATCAAAAAATACTAGCTGTTACATGTTTTTTAATCAGCAAACATACATTTTCAATTTAGATTGGCGCCCAGGGCAAAGTCTTTAAGTACCTATGTTGAGATTGTGAGATGGACACTTAATAGTCTTTTCTTCGTGCAAACACAATTCAGATTCAACCTGAGTTAAGACATACAAATATCTCTCTTTAGGCTCTCAGACCTATCTTATGAGAATTAACAATTAAAAAAATATATAATACCAAATGTTTTAAATCAAAGTTGCCAACATTTTTAAACATATTATTATTATTAACGGTTTATTTTTGCTTATATGTAGTCAACACACACGCAACTTACAAAGTATTAATGTAACACATTTAATATAAATTATCTCAATTTCAACTTAGTGAGTGGTTACTGTTGGTTTTCATTTAATTTAATTAAAATTGTATTTGTCACATACTACTTATCAATAGTACAACATTTTATAGTACATAGTACAATTTGATTGATTTAAATACAGACAGAATTATATAGATCACCAAGCAGATTTGGAGAGCGGAATTTAATTTATTACATTGTTTCTAAGTGTATATCCTTGGATAATCAGGATCTATTTTTGTGTACATTTTTGTGCCTAATAAAATGAAATACACTAGAAATTATAAATTATCAAACATATTTTAAACTATTTGTATATTTAGGGTGTTCTTTGTATCCGTTGTAAAGTCCTCCGTGACACAGGATATACTTATTCCGAATGCGGGATTGTCTTTTAAAAAAAAAAAGGATTTTATACAGTGAGATGATTGGAAAACAAAAATGTGTTTAGGCTCTCACCAAAATCATCCGTTACTATCCAAGTTTTACCATTCCAGATTTAACTGACATATTGTCAGTGCAGTTCTAATAGGGTGTCAGAACGACCGCTGCACAGTAGGTGGAGCAAAATTTTCATGTTTCAATATGAACTAAAACAAGACGAAAGATAAAATTCATTTTATTCACAATTTCTAAATAGGATGTTGAGCTTTTTGTGACCTCTCAACTGAAAGTGGTGACACATCTCATGGCTCAGTTTATAGGTTATGTAAGACACAACAATTGAGTGACTTATGCTCCATTGACATTGTACGTTAACTTACACAATGCCCGTTTTATTAGGAAAACTATTTCTCTTCAGATATGTCAAAAGAAAACAGGTATGAAAACATATAACCCACAAAAGATTATGTACACTCTGTTAGATGTCTGATATTGGTATATAAGCACATAGCACAGCTAGTGCGTACCTCTACTGTAATCCAAATTTCTTGGATTACCAAACGGTCTCTAGTCTTTGTATAACACTAATATACAAATATGTATATTCTACATTTCAAAATCCAAACAGCAAATACTTAAACAATAGGACAATGTACTTAAAACGGACTTTGATAGCAATAAATATTAATCACTTTTTAATTATCTCCCTGAATAATTCTGGATATTGCTACGTAACTATGTTTTGTGTCCATATTGTAATATCCAACAGGCCCTGCGTCGCAATCTGCGCAACTCAAATATTTGTAGTTAGCAACGGTGTGTGTAAAACCTATGTTCTCAAACGTAAACATGTTTTCTACATGGTAAAAGTCTGTTATAGTCTCAGATTGCACTTCGCCTTCTTGTTTTGAATCTTGCAGCATTAATGGTAGCTGTTCCTGTAATTTAAATAATAGGTTATGTTAAGATCAACAACAGAAATTAAAAAATAGTAATGTATAATTACAATGCACTGTCGATAAAATGTTCATAATGAAAATCTTTGTTTTTTGTTAAACTTTTCCAACGAAATATTTGCATGCTTTTTTTATGGTGAATTGTTTCTGGTGTTTATTATTAGTGCTAATAATGTTTCTGTTACATTTTATGCAAATTAATTATGTACTCACTACAATTAAACGAAGTGATACTTACAGAAGAAAAAAAAATTGCCTTTATTACAGAATTTGTAGCATTAATACAGATTTTACACTATGTACAAAGTTGAAAGTTTCCAACACTTACAAATAGAACCATTAAAAAGCTAAGTTTTACCTGTAAGGTTATGAACGTCGCTGAATTCTTGTCTAACATCTTTGAGCCGCAAAATTTACACTTAACAATCATTTTATTTTTTCCATCTTCAATGTAATCTTTGAGTTCATTTGCTACTGGTGGTTCTTTGTGTTCAATTTCCGACATATTTAAGCAGTAATTAATTTGAATCTTTGATATACGATTAAAAAGAAACTACATTTAAAATTCCGATTTCATGTGAAAACACCGGGTTGCATAAAGTTGTAATTTGGAACGAAATCTGACATTCCAAGTTTTTTCATTTAATATCGTTTACAGAGATAGTTGTTTTTGTTTTGTAATTAAGTCAATGTCTACAACATTTTTTTTCAAAAAAATATTGTATGAAACAACAACAAAATTATCCTTTTTTTAAATGATTGCCAACCACATAAAATTCTGCAATACAAATAAAAATTCTTCTGATGAATTAATAAACAGAAGAATTTTTAAATGTTTAAGTTTCATGGTCATGTTGGCATGTTTAGGTACCTGTAAATTTATGTTTTTTTCGTGTGCCAATACTTGGTCCCAATAAGAATTTAGTAGTCCATAGATTATAAAAGTTAGGTTACTATTGTCTCGTAAGAGGAACTGTGTTTTTATCAAATTGTTATCAAATATAATAAAAATGAGCTCAGGATTTATATCAGAGTCTGAAATACTGGAAGCGAGACGCCGAAGACAAGAAGAATGGGAAAGAGTCCGCACCGAAGACCAACCAAAAGGTAAAAATTATACATTTTAGTTTAATCACTCGTCAATATGGTTGTCACTGGTTGTGTGATAATGTTTTGATATTAACATTTTATTGTAGTTCCCTGGCCTCGTTATGTAATTATAATGACATTATATTGTTCATGCCTTACTTATGATTTCAGAAACAATATAATCAAGTAGCATCTTTCGAAATGTTATTGAGATAAACATATTTTGTCTTAACTATTTTAGTCAATATTAAAGTAACAATTTAATAAGCAAATTTTTACCGCTCAACATTTAACAAAAAAATGTTGAAATTACTGATTAACTCTAACTATTCATGCTAATATTAAATTGTTGTAATTAATCGTGGTAATTTTTAAATAAGGTAATTAAAACAAGAGTTAAAAATTTAGATTACGATTTTCAGTTCGGATCCAATTCGAAATTGTTTGATATTTACTTCTTAACTAACTTTTATAATTACATATTCATTAATTAATTCGATCATATAAATACATAAATAACAATAATAACTAGAAATAAATTACCATTGTATTCTTAAAAGATGAAACTAGTGTCAGTGAAAAATATTCCAAACTTTTATGTTCTCTGTAACTTTGTTTGTTTAGTTAGTTTTATTTTGTACGTTTTTATTTTGTGCTTGCTGCAAAGAGAAATAAATCTTGAAACAAACCCAACCCATCTGGCCAGAGTGGTATAGTGGGCCAAAACCTCCTTTCTGAGGATAGACCTATGTCCAGTGGATTACTAAATGCTGTTGTTGATGATGATGATTGTGCTTGCTGTGGTCTCTCTAGGCAAGGGTATTGAGTTGGTGTGAATATACACCAACTCAATACCCTTGCAGTCATTAATTTTGTATATCTATCGTTGGAGATCTGTGCTATGGTAACCAGACTGCTGATTAACATACTAATGTATTTCTAAAAACATACATTTATATATAAATTACACCCAGACAAATAACAAATGATCGTGCTCATCAGACAAAATTTGTCCTGGGTGGGTCAAACCTACAATCTTTAGCTTAGCAGTCAGAACCACTAACCACTAGACTGACAGGCCTGTTTTAGTTCCTTGTTTTGAAGCTTTAGGTAAAGCATCATATCTAATTCCGCTAACCCTGGCCTCTTATCTTTCGTCAATAATACTTTAGTCATTTAAAGGTCAGGTAATTCAAATGCGTATAATATCTAATATACATATTTATTCAGTTTCGTGGGGACTTAAAAAAAAACATTTATGAAAGAGACACAAAGATCACCCAGACTCAGAACAACACTATTAATCACACAAAGTCTTGTCTCATCTGGGATCACAACACTCAGCGCAGTAGGTGACCACTTAAACCACTATATAACTATGCAGTTAGGAATATTATTTATTAGAAATGCTCGTATTATGTACAGCCCCAGTCTTTCTTTTTTTTTTCATGAATTGTGATACTTTCCTAGACTATTATACCTTGATAGATAGCTCTGAATACTAACATGTTTATTAACAAAGCTGCACTTTAACTGTTATATATTTTTTTTAATAATATTTGTCAAAGAAAAAAAATTGTATAACAAATTTATTTATTTTTCTTATTATTAGCCATTTACTTCGGCCTAGTTTGTTAACTACAATTTTGGTAATTGAAATTATAAAACAATTTATCAACTACACAATACATACAGAAACAACATACAAAAAAGCAAAATAAAGGATATAAGTTCTAAAAAAAAATCGACGATTTTTATAAAAAATCTTAAAAATCCATTATCTTCAAAATGGGTATTTTTGGGATATGGTATTTCATAGTGAAATCTATAAGAAATTATGGCAACTACAACCCATTAAGTATTTAGTAAGTATTTAGGTAGACTTACACAGTATAACCCTGTGTAACCAGCTTAGTCATCGTTGTTACCAGATATTGTAGAGAATATGCGACTATGAGGGTGGGGAGGGAGAAAGAAAAGAATTAGACTATTGAAGGAACGCTTTTTATACTGATTTAGGAATGGTTTATATCACCTGATCTATTGCTGTAGTGATTAGTGACCCTGATTGCTAAGCCAAAGGTCCTTATGGGTTTGGTTCCCACCCATAACAAATTTTGTGTGATGAACATGATCATTTGTTCTAAGACTGGCTCGTGTTAATATGACTTAGTGCACATGTTTAGTTCATTTCAATGTTCATCACACACACAGACACACACACACACACAGACACACACACACACACACACACACACACACACACATACACATACACACACATACATACACTTTCAAATCCTCAACATTTTACTCCACATTGCAATGTGGTAGAATGTAATGGAACATTTGCATCATATCCAACGTGTTTCACTAATGCGGTCAGTATGAAACACATTTGAATTATTGTAATCTGTCGTAAGTTTTAAATAAAGAATTTATTTATTTTTATGCTCAACCTTCAGAAGCACCAGAAGAGGCCTATGATAATAGACCGCTGTACCAACGATTAGAAGAACAGAGGGTGAAGAAAGAGGCTGAATATGAAGAAGCTCACAAACTCAGTAAGTTTTTAATCATATCTAAAAGTATCCTATAATTAAGCAATATTTTGGTGTTAATTTTTTTAATTATCAACAATCTTGCAGAATGTTTAATTGGGAATATGTAAAGATTATATATAGAGATGGATCGACTGCTATAACCGACTATCCGGCTTCTTGTATAATTGGTGATTAGACACAACATGTTCGGACACGCTCGCACTTTCTTTCTTTTTCGCGCAAATCAGCTGTAAATACCGAGTTCTCCCGTAACCGTGATCGGCTTGGCCGACTACGCTTGGCCCGAATACGCTTGGCCCGACTACGGCTTGGCCCTAATTGTATGTAAAAGTAGTGCAGAAAGCTAACATTTAAAAAAATATGGAAATACGGTTTAAGTAGTCTGGACTCCTCTAGTTTATACCCCCGGTGTGTTGTCCTAACATGGTATAGAAACTCTATACATTGACTCTTATAAGTTACACTGGTCAGTAGGGTGTCCCGTCAATGTATGGGATTTTTTTTTTAAAGCGACGGCTACGCAAGAGGTATCAAAAGTTGCGTTTTTGTGAATAGATTACAAATATAACAAAAGTTAATTAAATATTTGTCATCTTTAGGCCTCTACCGATCCTAGAAGTTTTTCAAATTTGCCATTTTTAGAGGTTTCGAACATAAACTATAAATGATACAAAAATAATGTTTTAAAGGTTTTAATCAAATTTATAGGTACTACAAAGACATAAGGTAATGTTCAGTAAAGTTTAAATACTTATAATTAGTGCTTATTTCAAATACGAAATTGGTTCTTGTGGCCAAAATTAGGCATTTCCGCGCGAGATTTTAATCTGTTTCTGATTAAACCATCCCGAGCTGTAGCGTCCGTGACACTTAGAGAAGCCTCCGTCACTAGCTTTACACATCTTTCCACTGATTGTGTATGACAGGGGAAATCAATAACATCGAAGCTTTGTTCTTTAGCCTTAATTCTCAGTTCGTCGTCGGACATCTGTCGCAAAATCGGTGGAGCGGATATCTCACACTCTTGCCAAAATATCAAATCGATGTAATATCGCGCATCGAAGTTAAGTTTTGGTACTTTAAATACCCTGCGAGTATTGCTTATTTCTGCTTCTCTTGCCTTTAATATTTTGCGAGCTGCAAGCTCTCGAATATGCTCTCTGTCGTCGAATAGCATGGTAACAAGTAAGTTTTCAGGGTGAGTGAAATCGTTTCTCTCGATCACTGAATTCACAATAGATCTTTGCTTATCAGGCAAAAATCGGGAGTATGTAACCATTTGAAAAATATGATTGGCTCCATCTTTGAATGATGAGTTTTTCTTAATGAGGAACCAAACTGGAGCATAAACTTTGACCACATAATTGACAAGCAGCTTTAAATTATTTGATGGCGAAACAGTACTTACATAAAGTCTGAGTATGCCATTGGCAGTAGTTAGCCATCTTGAATGCGCCATTTTTCCAGGTTGGCGGCTCGCTAACTCAGGGGAACAAGAACCAGTCTTTACAGAATGACACATTTCATACAGATACTTTTGATCCGTACTTAGTTCCTTCACAATGTCATCAGGTAATTCGAGCAAATTGCCAGCCACTGCACAAAAAGACACTAGTGGTTTACTTTCACAAACATTTAGCTGTTTTCCAATAGGTCCTGAGTATTCTTTCGGCCCAGATGTGCTACCATCTAGAGACATAAACAAATGGCGAAGCGGTAATTCATTTGTGTGAAGCATACAAACACACCATTGTAACGGTCTCTTCAAATAGTCTTCCAGGTATTTAATGACACCTCCTTTTTAACCTGTATTTGTAGGAGTGCCATCGCAACCCACACAACTTACTTCTTCTAAGTTCCATCCTTGATTTTCTAACAATTATATAATAGAAGTGACAATCCCTTTCGCAGTACCTCGACTCGGCGTCGTATGTCCCAAGTAAATAGATCCCGGCTCTGTAAGAACTGAAATGTGTTCTTCTAAGACTTCTTTTCGGTGGTACCGGCTGTCTATTTTATTGATCTTGAGAGTATTATCTTTTCGCCTATCGAAGTAGATACTCTTTATAATAATTTTATCGATGTCTTTGCTGGCTTGGGTACGTGACTTTGAAACAGCTCTGTGAATCTTATTTTTATCAATCACAAGGTTTAGATCTTCGGAAGATACCATTCCTACGTCAACTAAGACTGCTGAAGCGACTGCAGCTGCCGAACGCGTTGATAGTCCGTATCGATCACATACCTTAGCTACTGTTGGCAGCGTCAGAGTGTTCCGACTAAATGAATTAGATGGAGACTCCTTTAAGTCACTTTTAGTAGAAGGTTCTATTGAAAGCGACTGTTAACGAGGCGGCAACACGCGTACCGGTACAGTATCGGTTTGTGAAGTACTCGGAAAACATGCTTGCTCTGTCCGCTTCAAATTTTCTTGTCTTTGATGTTTCTTTAAAAGCCTTGCAGTTTCTTTTGCGTCTACGCCGCTTATTGCCATTTTCCTATCATTTCTTTGGTCCAGTAAAAAATCTCTTTCAGAAATGGGAACTTTCTTGGGTTTAGTGCAGGAACAATTTTCAAACGAAGTGCACTTACAAGCAGCGATGTCAAAAAGCTTATTTGACGATTCCAAAAAGCACTTAACTTTGTTGTCATAGCTATCGTTTCTCTTACTTTTAGGATATCTTATTAGTGATAAATATTTGTTAAAATATGCGGTTAGCAGTTGAGTAACCCGTACGTTAGAAACGATGGGAATTGAAGCTTTGGTCCAAATTGTGTTAAGTTTTCCAGAAACTATTGAAAAGACTTCTGTGTTCGATGGATCTTTTCCGTTTTTCTGTAGTTTTAATTCACTTTTAGTAAATAAAATGCACTTAATAACGTCTTTTATAACAGGTAATTGGCGATCGTCAAGTTCTTTATAAGGTCCCAATATAGTACAAGTAGTCTCACTTCGCCTTGAACACATTTTTATGATGAAGTAACGCAAATTACGTTTTTCTTTCAAAGAAGAATAGAACAACTCTTTACAAAAGTAAAATCGAAATAGAAATGAGACGAACTGTCTTGTTGTAGAAGTAGCGCACGTACGAAAATCAAGTCAAAACATGAATTTTGTAGGAATTTTGCAAGTCCGATCCAAACCGATTGATCGCTAAAACAACCTGTCGATACTTGCAAATCATAGCCGAGGCTTTTCTTATTGATAAAATTACAAGACAAAACAGGATTGATTCATAAAACATAGAATATACGACATTGACTACAAGGTTGTTTTTGCGAATTTTCAGTAAATAAAAATGCTAAGGATATTTTTAAATATTTTTTGAATTATTTTTACGCTAATCTACGTCTAACAGCGCAACTTTTGAGGGGTCTTAAGTAGCTAAAATAAGAATAAAAAAATTTCGGGACACCCTACTGGTCAGTGATAAAAAGGTTTTGTGAAATCATGATACGCTCGAGATTCAATGAACAGGTTAATTGTCTAGTCGATTGCTTGTCGTTATTATTGAAATAGTTAAGTACTGTTTTTTTTAAATAGAAAACATGATCCGTGGTCTGGATGATGATGAAGTTGGTTTTCTGGACTTAGTGGAGAGGACAAAGGCGAAGGCTGCTCAACAAATATCTATTGAAGAGCAGAGAGAGATGCAAGAATTCAGGTATTGTACTAAACACTTACTATATTTTTGAATCATCAGAATGAATAATAACTTGACACATCTCACACATGGCTGTCTGGTCCAGACTAGCCAAAACCTGTACTATTGTAGCCAGCCTCATCATCATCATCAACAGCCTTTAACAGTCCACTGCTGGACATAGGCCTCTCCTTAGAAAGGAGGTTTTGGCCTACTATACCACGCTGGCCAGACGGGTTGGTATAGGGTTTGTGTCAAGTTTTCCTTCTCTCTGCAGTGTTGTTGTCCTGCGTATTTCGCTCCCTTAGTCGCCTCTTACGACACCCACGGGATGAATAGGGTGGTGACACTCTGTATTCTTAATCCGTCACCACACGGATGCCAGCCTGCTGATAAGCAAAATGTTTCTAAATACATATTATAGATAAATTACACCCAGAAACAGAACAAATGATTGTGCTTATCATACGATATTTGTCCTGGGTGGGAATGGCAACCACGACCTCCGGCTTAGCAGTGAGGGTCACTAACCACTGGATCAACAGGGCCAAATTAATTTATATTTTACAACTATTGGGTACCCGCGATTTCGTTCGGGCGGAATTTGAAAAGCGCTTCCTTAGTGGGTTGGATTCCCGCACTAGGCAAAATTTTATAGTTTTTGTGAAAGGAATGATAGCCTAAATAACTCCTTATATAGACAGCTACCCGGTAGTGAAATATAATCAAAATCGGTAAAGCCGTTTAGAAGATTACCCGGAACAAACACACAGACAAAAACATTTTTAACTGGTTTTTAGTCATGGGTATCCTTGCCAATAACCGTGTGAGCATAAAAAACAGACACTTCAATTTTGTTTATTTGCATAGATAACCGCCACCATATTTGTTTTTTTTTTTAATTTTACATAATTTGATTTCAGAGAGCGTGTGTCAAATTTAGCGGAGAGTGAAGAGATGATAAGACTGCGGGCTCAGATAGCGCCCGCACGTACCTCACAGACGACGTCATCACAGGCGCAAACACAGAAGAATAAACTGCAGGGGGTAAGGAAGTCCTTTCTAGGGTATACCTGGTTCCCCGGCTATTAGTACCCGAGACGGCGTGCGGTTTTAGTCGGTTCGAGTCCGACATGCCACCGACGGTGGTATCCGAGGGGATTTCTGCACGGCAAAAAAAAAAAAGGGGGTAAGGAAGATACTTCAAAAACCATTTTGATATTTCTTTTGCCTTTAGTAACTCTATTCTTAAATATTTAACTAGCTATCGACCACAGCTCCGCTCGCTTGATTTTTTTCACATTTCGTGTTTCATACGAACCCTTACGGGTGAAATTGCCAAAAATCCTTTCTTGGTGAAAAATTTCAAGTTGATGCCTCAATCAAAGCGGTGGTAGCCTAGTGGTTAAGGCGTTGTACTTGCGATCAAGAGGTCGTGGGTTCAAATCCTGACCAGTACACTGCCGACGTGAACCTACTCCTAACACAAGCTATTTAGCTTAGCGGGAGGGATTAATGGGAATACTAGTAATTTCGGTTGCTAGTAGACCTTACAAAAAAAAACAGTCAGGCAATTAAATATGTATGGAAGATTAGCTACCAGCAGAAGCTAAAATTTTAAAATTAATCAAAATGCACCTACTTCCTGTTCTCTCTGCATCACCCAAAGGTTGACTGGTAGAGAATGCACCAAAAGTGCATGATGTATAAATAAATAAATAAAAGTGTGTAACCAACTGTCAGGTATTGGAGAAAACATTGTATTATTTTTAAGACCTGATGTATCCAAGATCGCGGCAAAAAAATTTCTGAAAATTAAAACTTTAAATATTTGTTTCAGGTTGTAGTCAGAAAACGCAAAGCGTGTGATATGGATGGTGATAAACAAGATAAGACAGAAAATGGGCCCCTGCCAGCTAAGACAAATGGATTGTTACCTAATAGGTAAGCATCCTTAAACATATCTCTAGTAGTTGACTTCATTGGGTCTGGTGTTTTATGTCAGATTTTTTTTGAACTGATGGTGACTATTGTCACCCATAAACACCTGCAACTCATAAGTCTAAAGCCAAAATCTGTCTTTGGTGGTATTGGGCTCCGGTTCCCGCATTAAGACTCAATAACAGTCCTCTATGCTTATAGTAGGGTTGGTTAGGTGAACCAATTCAGGTCCTTCCGAAAGCACAGAAGCCTGGTTAACGGGCTTCTAGGATCGATTTTGTATCAGCAAAGCCGGTCTTTCTAGTGCATACTCAGAATTAGAGTGACGGAAGGTTGATCTTTCGTTTGGAGTGTTAATAAACAAGCTGAATTGCATAGATTCTGTCGTACATAGACTCGCTATTGGATCGTGGAACTTCTGTATTGGTAGTATTATTTAGTTCATTGTATATTGAGCAGTTTAATATAAAAAAATATTCATATCGCGATACAGGATTAACAGTTTCTTTGTAGTTCGACGTGTCTTCGTTAGATGGCGCTGTAGTATGTTTCTTTGTTTTAATGTAAGTGAAAGTCGCCACAATAACATCAGTTATATGTGGATTGAATATGATCATGTGTTACAGTCCAGCGGAACAGATGGGGTCGGTGGGGGCCGCCACGATGCGGTGCGTGGGCGTGCTGCCCGGCCTGGGACACTACGACACCGACTCCACCTCCGACACCGACGATTCTAGCGATCTAGAGTCTGTACGTACGTCTCTTTACTATTTTTATTTCATTATTAAAAATCGGTAGTATGCAACAAATATTAAAAAGTAACACATATAATATGTAAAATGATTGTATATTTGTTCGTATTTAACGAGCTGTCTTCACGTTTAAAAAAAAAAAAAAACATGTTTTTATTGTTAAATAATTATATATCTTTTTTGTACATGATTTTATACATCATGATTTATATATTATATGATGATATAACAAACGTAAAATTTTATTTTACTTTTATTACTCAAAGATATCCATAACACATATGTTAATAATAGATTCAAAATATAAAAATAAACGTTAGTTCCTATGTCTGTGCTGTCGTACCATTTATCCGATGTTCAGAGCTAAAGCAAATGACCACAGAGTAACTATCATTCTTAAAAATGATTCCCAAAGGACCAAAAATACTTTCATATTAGCAAAAAAAAAATAGTCATAGTCAAAAAGATTTGCAAATATTATTATTTTTTTATTTTAGCTTGACAAATGCTGCAAACGTGACATGTTGGGGAGGCGGCCAGAGACAGACAAGTCGAGGAAAGAGGGAGAGAAGAGCTAGACTCGTACCGCACCTTGATATTTAATCTAGATAGTCTGCTGTTAGTTGACGAGCTGGTAAAATGAAGTACAAGTCCTTGAAAAACATTGTACTTATACATTATAATAATAAATAAAATGAGTATTTTAGACAACGGATACACAACGCCATCTAGTTTCAAACTAAGCAGAGCTTGTACTATGAAAGCTAGATTTTCTGATAGAATACTTAGATAATTTTTTATTAAATACATACATATACATAAAAAACGCCCCAAACTACAAAACAAATATTTGCTAATTGTATAATGCAAGCTGGAATTTTGAGTAGACTGTATTTTATATATTAATTACTTCAATGACCATTCATAGAGAAAAATAAAACAATGTTGCCAGATTGAATAACATTAAAATTATTGCCAGACAAAGTTTTTAAATATTACTAATAAACATTTTTATACACTAATCATACAAATATTTAATCAACGATATCAGTTATATAAAATGATATAAATGTACTACAGAGATTTATAATTATAAATTATTAAATAAGGATCTATGGAATTTAATTCTTTTGTTCAATTAAATGTATTTCGTTAGATTCGTCCGTGCTGTGTTGATTGTGTCTTTACACTGAAGGAGAGTTATATTATTTTAACGGCAGGCCTTTAACTTTAATTAATAATATTGCTTACAGTGTATAGGCCAAAACCTCCATTCTGAGGAGAGGCCTATGTCCAGCAGTGGACTAGTAAAGGCTGTTGATGTGTGTATAAAAAATAAATACATCACCTAATTTACTTTTTATTTGAACGTAAGGTTATATAAGGCGTTTAGTTCACACCAACTCGCCCTCGAAGGCGACACTGTGACGATTGGAAGGAGAGCCTTATGTCCAGGAGTGGACTGTTAAAGGCTGTTGATGTGATGTGAAAGGCCTTACGCTAAAATAGAGGGCCTAGCCTCTGTATGTGAGCAACACAAATTTAATCTTCACGGAGATTACCCACCATTTGTAAACTTCCTTATTACGTACGTTCTTTTAGGTGTTTTACTTTCTTTATAAGGATATCGTTCTTAGTAGCAGTAATTTTCTTAAGTTGTATTTTAATTTACGAGCTCCTAAACTATACTTATTATGTTATGTGATTTAGTGTAAGTTATTGTTAGTACATACAATTTTAAATTTATTTGTTTTTTTTTTCTCCCTCCGAGCCCTTTTCCCAATTTATGTTGGGGTCGGATTTATTTACTACGATATGTACTTAATTTTTTTACGTGGAGCGACTGTCATCAGACCTCCTCTACCCAAGTACTAGGCGATATCGAAGTTCTATAGAAAGACTTTTGAGGGCTCCGAGAGACATAGAGTGGTCTGTGTTTTAAGAATCGCCGCCCATCCATAGACTGACCAGGCTAGGATTATTTAACTTATATACTTAGAATAAATGAGGTTACCAGAGCTCCCTCTTCTTCCTATAATTTCTAATTGATGGGAGAGGGACTTCTCACCTCTATGTTTGCTGTATAAATATGGTTTATGGCCCATGTAGTCTCAATATTAAAAAAAAAATTGACCATGAGTTTGTATGCCCTTTTTTTCTCAAGCCCGGCAACTGACCCTCACTGGCAAACGAGCACACGGGGTCACGCCCCGTGTGCTCGTTTGCCAAATATACCCTCAATAAAGTACATAGGTGAATGGGAGCGTGGCGTCTCCTGTAATCCGGCTACTCGGATTTCGGGACCGGAGGATGGTTTCAGGTCGGGAGTTCTGGTGCTGAGTGGCCCACGTTGACTGGACACACTAACTGGTATTAATACGAATCCCCTGGAGGAGTCCGGAGGATGCAGGTTAACTAAATACATAGGTACAGATGCATAATGTTTGCTGATGTTAAAAATAAATGGGTACTTTGATCTTAGATTATTAAAAAAAAAACAGAAATTAATATTTAATAGTCACATCAATAGATCAATGACAACAATATCATGATTATAAAAAACATACACGTGGCAGAGATCTAATTGTTTAAATAAACCCATTACATCATAATACCAGAAACAATCGTCTGCACTGTAACTGCTGACAGCCCATTTATTGAGGAAGGCTATATAACATCACGCTACGACAAATAGGAGAACGCGAAGACGGGGTAAATTTATTCTTATATATATATAGTCGACGACCGAATGGCGTAGTGGTTTGTGTAACGGACTGCTATTCCAAAGGTCGCGGGTTCGATACCCGCTCAAGTCAAACATTTGTGTGCATGAACATTTAATGTTTGATTTGGTCTGGGTGTTTCTATGTATAATAAGTATGTATTTACAAAAAAATGTATTTATGTATTTATATCAGTTATCTAGTACCCATAGTACAAGCTCTGCTTAGTTTGGGACTAGATGGCGTTGTGTGAATGTGGTAGAATATTAATATTATTTGAGAGATGCAGAGCAAGCTGAACGGGTCATCTAGTAAGTTGTGTTAAAATTTATTTGTTGAAGAACTGAGCTTCGATTCTTTTATTTTATGTTAACGCCAAGCAACTGTCACGCTATTGAGATGCCACTGACATCGGTCAAAATATCGGTATTCTACTAACATAAATTCACAGTGTTAATAGACTGTCGATATAGGTCATCCATGGTGATATCAACAACATTGCCATATCATGAAAATTAAATATATTAATTTCTAACAAATTTAAAATGTACCCTTTACCAAACTATTACAAAGACATTGAAGACATTTGTATCAGTGACAAGTCATCGGTCATTGATCTTACATAGTTAGTAGAATAGGAAAAGTGCAAAACTATTCCGACGACATTCCATCGACAGTCTTTTGATACAATATTAAAATAGCAGAATTGAGGACCTGGTATTATGTTATAAGGATGAATATCATCTACTATATACAGGTATGACTTAATAAGTATGAAAAACAAAAAGTATGACAGACAAACAGCAGTTACTCCATAAACACATGGCAAACGAAGTATCTGGTCAGGATTACATTGTGTTCATCACATCACATCAACAGCCTTTAACAGTCCACTGCTGGACATAGGCCTCTCCTTAGAAAGGAGGTTTTGGCCTACTATACCACGCTGGCCAGACGGGTTGGTACAGGGTTTGTTTCAAGTTTTCCTTCTCTTAGCAGTGCTGTTGTCCCGCGTAATTTGCTCCCTTAGTCGGCTCTTACGACACCCACGGGATGAATAGGGGTGGTGACATTCCGTATTCTTAATCCGTCACCACACATTGTGTTAGGCTTACAATAAGGCGTGCCGTTGCGACATTTAAAATGAACTTGCCGCTATCAAAATCCAACATCATCACATCAACAGCCTTTAATAGTCCACTGGTGGACATAGGCCTCTCCTTAGAAAGGAGGAAAATCCAACAAACGTCAGGTAATTGAAATTCAGAATAACAACCCTTACCTACATCCTCTAGCGACGGCCTGGGCCGGGGAGCGTCGAGGGCGTTTGAACCTCAGTGTGGTGACAGCATGCGCTTTTATTATATAAGTTGATGTGCGTCGAATCGCAAGTGCGTTTCAAGCCTTATTCCCGTAAGTAAATTACACATTTACGTGAATGTGAATTGTAAATGACTCATTTCTTCACCTTAAGAATTACCAATTGTTATTGTATCGAATTTGAAACTTGAAACAAACCTTCTACCAAACCGTCTGGCCAACGTGATATAGTAGGCCAAAATCCCCTTTCTAAGGAGAGGCTTATATCCAATAGCGGACTATTAAAGGCTGTTGATGAATTGTTTAAAAACTATTCTGCGTTATTACTTCAATTCTCTGTCTCAAAAGATAATTTCTCTTCTATTCTATCTCTCAAACGAAACCTGCTTAGTCAGGGGGGAAGGAGGGGGGAGGGGGGTGATCGAGTCGTAACTGTTTTCTTAACGCGAATATCTATATTTTTAATGGGGGGAAGCCACAGCCCAAAGAAAGTTAATATTAGAAATGCGATTGCTATTTTTATTCAAGACTTAATTACTCTAACAGGTCATCATGAAATTTTGCATGAACGTTGGTTTATCGATAAAGTCTACATGATAGTAAGCGGAGTTGCAGAGAAAACATTAAGTGAGCGTTAAGTAGTGCATGGTGTCATCGGTGCGGTCCGTCACCACGTCGACGGTGCGTTCGACGACCACGCGGTCCTGCGGCTCGGCCTCGGCCAAGCTCTCGTCAGAGGAGTCTTCTGTGTTCGTCTCTTCCCCTCCCACTGTTTCCTTAGGCTCATTCTTTTGTTTTCTTCGGTTTCTATACACAACATGTTTAAGTTGAGATATGATGTTGACACTATAGTCCATTCGCTTTAAGGAAATAGTGACGCATTGATTAAGCCCCGCCCCTTTACTAATCAAGTGCCAAGAAATTATCGGTTCGTACGAAAGTTTGGGAGCTGATTGGTCAGTGTGCGGAGCTTGATCTATGTGGCACTATGGACTATAGTTAGCATTGAAAATGCAATAGGAATAATAATGACTGTTTATCTATGACCGTATTTTTTTTTTAAATTCTCATGCGTTTCTGGTTCATACTATTATTATTATCTTTATTTCATTAAATATAAATATTTAAATACATTTATGATTCATACAAAAAACAAAATATATATAAAAATAAAAAAAAAGTGTGCGGTAATCGGTATCGGGTACTCGCACTAAGCTACCGGTGGTTTTAGGACTCCAGAGACAGAAACTACCTCACAATAAGTGCTGTATCAAGAAAAACTGATCCAGAAAACATGTTTTCCGCATCAGGCCCTTAATCCAGCTATTTATTATTATAATACTGATACTATCTTGCACGAGCTAATATCTACAAAACACAACATTCATACATGATTTAAATATTCCCCAAATTAAATACGTAGGTGCATATCACTCACGTTTTTTTTTATCGCTGAATGCAGAGTGAGTGATAGGAAGGATCCGGGAACAGCTGTTCTTAAGACATTCGGACCCCGCAGATGGAGTGGGGAGACCCGAGTCTGTCTGTAAGACTATTTGGTTTAACTCACCTTTTTGGATATGGTTGTTTTAAATGGAAAGTTCTGTAGTGCAGTTTCATGCTGTTACTCTGTGTGAATCTCTTGTCGCACAGCGAGCACGCGTACGGCTTCTCTCCCGTGTGAGTCTGGAAATAATGAATATTAGAGGCATAGCGTATTGGTTGCCAACCGGTATAGTAGGCCCAAACCTCCTTTCTAAGGAGAGGCCTATGTCCAGCAGTGGACTATTGAAGGCTGTTGATGATGTGATGTGTATTGGTTGCATCAAAGTCTTTTACAAGAATTGACTTTTACAATGAAGACTATATGAAATATTGACAACTGAACAAAGTTAAGCAGTCGCGGGACGTCGAGCAGATGTGAAACATCGAAATTATTTTATAGAAGTCCTGAGTCACTTGCGCACGGCGACGCATCGCCACACCGCATTTTATGTTACACATAATATCACATAGCGTGGCGACGCATGTCGTGGCGATGCGTCGCCATGGAAACAGCCAGTCTGATGTTTTATTTAAAGTTTTATTTTTTATGAAAACTGGGAATAAATCCTGTGTCGCGGGGGACTTTACAAACATTCATAAAACGGCCACAAAGAACATCCAGACTCAGAACTACAATTTGTGGATTACACAAAGGGATCGAACCCACAACACCGAGTGCAGTAGGAAGCGGCGAGGTGACTTCTTAAACCACTACGCCATCCGTGCAGTCGATTTGTAACATAATTATGCCAGTCTTTGTAAGAAATAAATAATAAAATAAACACCGAAACCTCAAACAAATTATTTTATTTACAAACAATACATAAATAGCATCAAATATAAAATACCCATAAAACGAATGTTTCTAAACTCACCACCATATGTCGCTTGAGCCCTACGATGGCGTGGAACTGCTTCCCGCACGTGTCGCACGTGTGGAGCTTCTCGCGGCTGTGCATGTTCTGGTGCATGGCGATGCTGCCGGGCTGGACGCAAACATACACAACGATACAGGGGGCTATTTATGTGATATAATATTTCAACATTGGTTAATTTCAATACTATATTCGTCATCATCAACAGCCTATAACAGCCCACTGCTGGACATGCTCATTTTGATAGTAATTAGTTTCGATACTGCTCATCTTGATAGTGAATATTTCCAATACTTCTCGTTTTGATAGTGGATATTTCCGATACTGCTCATCTTGATAGTGGATATTTCCGATACTGCTCATTTTGATAATAATTAGTCTTGACACTGCTATTCAGTATTTCAAATCGGTTGGTTCCCTAACAGGTAACTTACAGCGAGTGAGGAGCCGCATATCTCACAGATGTACCGCTCGGTGGGGGGGTGGAAGGAGGTGCGGGGGTGGGCCTCGATGTGGTGCTTCAGGCACGCCGCCTGAGTCTCGAAGTGTTCGCCGCACTATTACAACAACAAAAGTTTAGTAAACTTGTAATAACATGGACATAAGAGGAAGGAGAAAGGAGGTTTTGTATTTGAAATTTTTTATAAAATAATTTGTGTTAAAATATTTTCATATTCTTCTGTTATGGGAAGATTTTAATACTTTTAGTTAGTAGATAAGCATAAAACGTAATCTTCCTAAGTTAGATAGGTTATGTATTGAGGAATGTTGTATCTTATGTAACATCATCCTTTGGCTCTTAGGAGTGGAGAAGTGACTATAAATACGGGTGAAACTGCGATAGTGAGCCATGACCAAAGAAAAAAAAAGTGTGTGTGTGCAATTCAAATTTCTATACAAATAAATAAAATTGAAGTGTCTGTTTGTAATGTCAAAATATTAGGATTTTTACATGCTCACACGGTTTTTTGCACGATGCCTATACCTCAAAACCAGTTTAATTTTTTTGTCTGTCTGTTTGTTCCGGGTAATCTTCTAAACGGCTGGAAAGATTATGATAATATTTTACTACCCACTACAGCAGCATTTTTCAAATTCCATGCGAAAGAAGTCGCGGGTATCAGCTAGTATTAAAAATAATGTGTAATGTATTCTATCTCATTCTCTCGCTCGACTTAATCCTATACATTTATGTGTTTGTTTCTTTATCGTGACGCATTTTCGTTTCATCGATTCTAAAGAAGTTTCACTTAAATAAAACTTAAACTCACTTGATGACAGGTCGTAGGTTTGGTTCTCTGTCTTCTTTCCTTCCTCTTGTACCGTTTCACTAAACGTTTTACATTGAATAGATCTGCATCATCATTATTTCTTTTGCTGAGTCGTTTTGTTATCTGAAATAACACAACATATACAGGGTTACTGGGTAAGTCGACCTAAATAAAGGCCGGTAACGCGTTTGTGACTCCTAAGTTGCAGACGTTCATAGGCGGCGATGGTCACTTTCCATCAGGTGACAGTCTCGTCGCCCCCTCTAACATAAAAACAAAGTATTTTAAGGAGTTTTAGTTGCCATCATATCTGATAGATTTCACCATGCAATACCATATCACAGAAGTAACTATTTTCAAGATATTTGGCTTTTCAGATTTTTTATAAAAATCGTCAAAATTTGCCTACTACATTTTGTTTTAGAACTTATATGATTTATTTTATACCTTTTTTATACTGTTTTTGTATAGTTGCTAAATTGTTTTATAATTTCAATTACTAAAATTGTAGTTAACTTAACAAACTAGGCCGAAATAGGCCGAATTTGACTGCACGGCGTAGTGGTTTAAGCGGTCGCCACGCCGCTTTCTACTACGCCGAGAGTTGTGGGTTCAAACCCCACATGGGACGACACTTTGTGTGATCCACAAATTGTTGCTCTGAGTCTGGGTGTTCTTTGTGTCCGTTTCATGTATGTTTGTAAAGTCCCCCGCGACACAGGATTTATTCCTAATGCGGGAGTTGTTTTTTAAAAAAAAATCAAAAAAAAAAAAAAAAAAAAAATACATGGTTAATAATAGGAAAAATAAATAAATTTGTGTGTTTTTTGACAAATATTATTTAAAAAATCCAGGGAAGTTAAACTGCTGATTTGTTCAAAAAAAAGTCCGTATTCTCAGCTATCTAAAAATGTGTAATAGTCTAGGATAGTATCAGAATAATAATAATCTCACATATCTCGCACACGGCCGTTCTGATCCCAGGCAGTAAATATGGGACAAAATCACAATGAACTGTGATTTTTCATTCGATTTTTGCTAACGTAGGTTAGGGTTGCTATAGTTAAACCGCCGTAAGCTTGGCCCTCCTGATGGTTTGCGGGACGCGGGGCGGGTGATGCGCTCGGCTATACATGACACGATGTACTAACTCGATATCTTCAGATTTATTTGTTTGACATTTAATCTACACACGATGTAATAAAAATCGAATTTATTTCCATGTATTATAATGTCAGTGTATTGTAAGTTTTTATGATTAATTGTAAAATTTAATACTGTAAAATAATTTTAATAAAATCACCTTATCTTCATCATGTAAATTATATTCAGATACAATTTAAAAGTTAAGGGAAATAACAAATATACTTTATTAGAACTTTAACAGTAGAACCTCTGTAAGCCAAACTTCAAGTTTTTAAATCTTTTTGTGACGCAGAGTCGGCAGATTATCCATGTTGCAAAGTAATACCGTGTGTAGCAGTCTTAAGAAAAATAACACGTACAGCTATGCTTTCACGTCAGTCACTGCCGCTGGACAGCGACGCACTAGCTAATTGGTTGAATGCACCCCCACCCCGCGTCCCCCAAACCATCAGGAGGGCCAAGCTTACGGCGGTTTAACTATAGGTATCATATATGCTTTATATGGTATCATGCTGCTTGGTTGCTATGGTAGCTATATATCATAAAATTAAATTAAATTAAATTACTAGATTAACTGTTGAATATTCGAAATAGGGTCTTTATGCATCGTCTGAAAACAGCTTATTGGCAACAACGCGTGGGTAAGTAGTAACCCTAACTTACGTAAGAAAAAATGGAATGAAAAATCACCGGTCTTTCACAGTTCACTGTGATTTTATCCGATGCCTACTTGGCAGAGCCTGTACCATGGTAACCAGACTGCTGATAAACATACTTTTGTATTTCTTATCATCAGACACAGAACAAATGATCATCAAACAATTATTAATTGTCCTATCATCAATCCAGGTACCATAGCACAGGCTCTGCCTAGGTCTAAATCAGACGACCGTGTGTAAGATGTGTGAAGGTACGAGTACGGTACTCGTATTATCATCGAAATTCCCAATCGCCTGTTACACGCTCTGAGCGGATGGGAGCGAGACCGAAATATGGGTAACAAGCCTTTTTTCCGACACTTCAGTTGGCGCGTCGACGCTCATATCTTTTCATATTCCATAAATACGATAAACATCTACCAAAAAGCGAAAGGAACTTCGTTCCGACCGTCCATAGACCCTTCACGCCGTTTTTTAATTCAATACCGAAAATACCGTAATGTTTCGGAAAAGAGCATTTCCATGTTAATACATGCAAGTACATAAAGTCAATCTATCTACGGCGACCTCTGGTTATTACTATATATTATCCGCAATTACTATAGTATATTTTGGCATGCATCAGCATACGAGTGTCTGCTTCTATTAAACACGGCCAAGCACGTTTCTGCCGACCCATTTACATGATTACCGCATTTACACTGCTTCCAATACAAGTTTTGTTTTAGAAATCCTACGCACATAAGTATACAAATATATTGTTATAAATATTTCTTTAAATAATCAATATTATAGAAAACTACAAACCTTGGCTTGTTCTCTCTTGCTAAGAACTTTCTTGGAAACAGAAATCTTTTCGAACGAATCGCTCCTGAAATGTAAACGAAAATTTTTTCATCATAATCCTACTGTCCTCTCCGTTGTATTTGGGATCCGCGAAATGTGTAAAATTGCTAAGAGATAAGCTGGTTGGAAGTGTAACGTTTTCAGAAGGGACTTAAGAAGAAAGGTGGTATTTGAAGACGCTACAAATCAACTCGCTCTCGACAGCGAGCGCGTTCGGTGTTGCGATTGGTGAAGATTTCAGTGCGAGCCAATCGCAACGCCAGACGTGCTCGCTGTCGAGAGAGAGTTGATGTCAAATAAACTCACACTTTAGCTTTTGAACGCACTAACGTAGTTCCATCGCAAATACTTCTTCAAGCAATCTCTAAGTTCATACCTTTTATTAACTTTATTTACAGCAGTTCCCTTCCCGTCCTCGTCGCTGTGCAAAGCCGAGTGGAACAAATGTTCTTCGTACGCCTTCCGCGTCTCGAAGCGGATGTCGCATCGCTTGCAATACGTGTTCACTTCTTCGTCGTCGTCAGGACTTTCCTGTAAGTCAAGCGTTGATTAGATACGTATGACTGTTGACTGCACGGATGGCGTAGTGGTTTAAGCGGTCGCCCCGCCGCTCACTACTACGCTGAGGATCCCCACATGGGACGACACTTTGTGTGATCCACAAATTGTTGTTCTGAGTCTGGGTGTCCTTTGTGTCCGTTTCATGTATGTTTGTAAAGTCTCTTGCGACACAGGATATATTCCTAATGCGGGAGTTGCCTTTTTTAAAATAAGAAATAAGTATATATGTTAGGACAAAGACTTGTTATATGACATTATGTTTCAAGCGAGCCAAGATGCCACCTGTCACGGATGCGATATGTCGCTTCACCACTTGAGAATAGGCCCTCGTTAAGTACAACCAGTTATGAACCGCTTTGATATCGAAGACGACAGATGGCAATTAACTAACTACAATACAATTCCTGCAATAGGAATATCCTGTATCGCGGGAGACTTTACAAACATACATGAAACGGACACAAAGAACACTCAGACTCAGAATAGTATTTTATAGATTACACAAAGTGATGTCTCATGTGGGGATCGAGCCCACAATACTTAGCGGAGTAGGAAGCTAAACCAGTACGCTATTCGTGTAATCACACCAGTACATCTATATAGAATTTATTCTACACTAATATAGAAAAGGTAAAATTATGTCGTTTAGGAACGGGCGTTATGTCTCTTTAACGAAAATAATCATCATCATCAGCAGCCTTTACTAGTCCACTGTTGGACATAGGTCTTTCCTTAGAAAGGAGGTTTTGGTCTACTATACCACGTTGGTATAGGGTTTATTGCAAGTTTTCCTTCTCTTTGCAGTGCTGTCGTACAGCGTAGGTGGTTCCATTAGTCGGTTCTTACGACACCTATGATAAACGGGGGTGATGACACTCTGTATTCTTAATCCCTTAATCCGTCACCACACGGATGACGAATATAATGGCCATAAAATAAAACAGGTCATTTTTTATAACATGTCATGGAAGATTTTGGGAAAATATATGATAGTCAGTTTGTTTTATTGGTACATCTTATATATAAAAATTCTCGTGTCACAATGTTCGTTCCCGTACTCCTCCGAAACGGCTAGACCGATTCTCATGAAATTTTATGTGCACATCGGGTAGGTCTGAGAATCGGCCAACATCTATTTTTCATACCCCTAAATGGCGCCTAATTTTTTTTTGTTTTGCAATACGTTTGCCGGGTCAGTTAGTAAATAGATAAGTGCAGGCAGTAGTGCAGTGTCAGTACTCACGATGTCGGCGAGCACGTGCTTGATGTGGCGGTGCTGGCGCAGGCCGATGGCGCTGACGAAGGACGCGCCGCACAGCGCGCACACGTGCTCGCTGCGGTGCGTGCGCAGGTGCGTGTAGTACGTCGACGAGTGTCTGCGCACGCGCAGGTTTACATTAATATAGATCTCGAGTCACGATGTATGCTCGAGATAAAGTACTAAACCAATTTTGAATTGTATTTTGGTCTAACTTTAAAGATTGGATAGGTAATTTTTATCCCAATTATGAACCTTGATATTTGTTATTTTGCAATAACAAATGATTTGCATCAAATGTCTATTATACGAATATTTCACACACGCCGTTCCGTTTCAAACTAAACAAAGCTTGTACTATAAAAGCTAGACTGAGTGATAGAATACTTATATACTTTTTTTGTAAATACATACATATTATACGTAAAAAACACCCAAACTGCGAAACAAATATTTGCAGATCATACAAACATTTAGTCCGACCCGGGAATCAAACCCGAGATAGCAGTCGCATTCGCTACCACTGCACCACCGAGGCTGTTTATTATTCTGTGTCTGAGTGTAATTTAAATATGTATTTAGAAATATATAAGTATGTTTATCAGCAGTCTGGTTACCATAGCACAGGCTCTGCCCAATTTCAGATCAGACTATCGTGTGTAAGATATCCAAGGTTATTATTATAATGAAGTTATTAAGTTGAATTAACCAAATTTTTATTTTCTTTTTATAAGCGGCGGTAGCCTAGTGGTGCATTGGACTTGCGATCAAGAGGTCTTGCGTTCAAATCTTGACTAGTACCTACACTACGGACATGAACCCACTCCTAACACAAGCAATTTAGCTTAGCGGGAGGGGTTTACGGGAATACTAGTAATTTCGGATGCTGGATCTCAAAAAATAATAATTAAATACTTACCGAAATTCTTCGTTGCAGTAAGTACACTTTCTAGTTACACCGCTGTGGTATTCCTCATGAAGTAAAGCTGTATTTCTGAAACATTAAATAGGCATACTCATCATCATCAACAGCCTTTAATAGTCTACTGCTGGACATAAGCCTCTCCTTATAAGCCTCCCTCCCTGATTGGTCAGGATGCGGGCTTGATCGATGCGTCACTATTTTCTTAACGCGAATGAACTATCAAGTCTATTTTACTCTGCTACTAAATTGATACTTACTCTAGTGGACACTGAAGATCGCACCGAAGGCAGTTATATCGTGTGTAATGCTGTTTCATGTGTTTCTTTAGGTAGCAATCCAGTCTGTACCGGTAACGACAAAAACGACATTCGTGACTGCCCAATTCCTGTTAAGAAAAATCATTAAGTGTAACAAGCTAATTATAAAAAAACAAGTGAAAGTATTTACTTAAAACTCACAAAACGGTGACTGTAATTTTCATAATTTACATATACTAACATACTATTATATAAGTAAACATTTTTTGTCGCATTTTATAGGCTGTTGTAAACTTTACTGGATTATCATAAAAAATTGCACTTAGGTAACTTTACTTTACTTTTAGCGACGCAGCAGGCAGTAGATACTGCATATTTAAAATTTGACACCATCAACAAACAGCCTTTACTAGTCCACTGCTGGACATAGGCCTATACTTATAAAGGAGGTTTTGGCCTACTACACCACGCTGTTCAGACGGATTGGTTGGTAAATGAAATATACCCACATATGGTTAATACATTACCTCAATATGTCTTAACTGAACATGTCTATTTAACATGTCTTTTTTCGAAAACCCCTTAAAGCAATCCTTACATTTAAAAGCAGCTGCTAAATATTTTTTATCTTCTGCTTTTGCCCTGAACTCCTTCAAAGCCTCTTCTTCACTCAAAATTTCAATCTTCCAATTTTTTTTATCATTTAACGACTGCACTTTCCAAGTATTTAACTTTTTACCTCTGTGCACTTTTTTTAATTCTTCACAATCCGTTATTAAGACACCATTTTCAGTTTCAACATAAACAGTCATTGGACTATTTGGAATATCATTATTTTCTACAGCATTTTTCATTTCATCGTCACCATCATCACTAGTCTTTTCATCATCTACCTTTATATTATTATCACTAGCAATCCTATCTTCATTTATTATATCATTGTCATTTTGAGTATTTTCTTCTTGTGTTTGTATCTTATCATTATCACTAATACTACTTATTTTGTCATGATCATTAAAAGTAATAAACTTTTCATCATCAGTTAATTCATTTAAATTATCACCATCACTAAATGATACTTCATTTAAAAATTCTAACTCCATATTTTCTATTTTCGGCAGTAGTTGCAGATGATCTTTCTGCTTGCTGTTCTCCTTTGTGATATATATTTTGACGTGATTCCCCGAAGTCATTATTGAAAGTGGCGATTCGAGCATTAAATCTTTGCGATCCACTTTATAAACTAATTCATAAGTTATCTAAAACAAAATGAACGGTATAAATTTTGTTGCTCTTTCTTTTTTTTTATAGACAACAAACGGACACAAAGAACATCCAGATTCAAAACAACAATTTGTGGATCACAAAAAGTGTCGTAAGTCTAAAATTAACAAAAACCTTTGCTTTTAATTCAGGCTTTTGTCAAGTTCCATAATAGACAAATCTTTGCCATATTCTAAAATAAACTCATTATTATTATATAAGAAATTATCGTTACTTACGACAGCTCGGGACTTGATTGGTCAGGGTGCGGGCTTGACCGATACGTCACTATTTTCTTAACGCGAATGAACTATAAAGTTTATTTTACTCATTAAATAGAGTAAAGTAATTATTAATTGAGTCCTACTAACAAAAACCTTGCTTTTAATTTAGACTTTTGTCAATTTCCATAATAGACAAATATTTGTCTGCACATTATAACAATATTTACATTCTGTACAGACAATTAATTGACTTTGTTAAGTTTTAATTAAATATTAATCATGATAATTACTCACGGGCCCTTTCCACAACAACTCCTTGAGGATCTTCTGACCGACATAGCATTTCTCTTTGAACTTGTGAAATTTGTGCAACATTGTGGCGCATTCATAACAAAAGTAACTTGGAAATCCATCATCTTCATTCACCTGCGGCAAACAAAAGATTCTTTATATCTCTTATTAAACTAATATGGTGCACTGCATAACATATTTTAGAATACTTAGGGCCCGTCCGCACAGCGATTTTTCACCGAGAGCTAGGAAATAAATCGCCACCGTATCGCGTTCAATTTGTATCAAATCACAGTTTTTTTTCCACAAGTGCGAATAGTTCTATATTCATATTGTATATATTGATAACATGTGTCACAGAATTTTGGGAAAAAAATGAGCGGTGAAATATCGCAGTGAGGAATGGGCCCTTAATGTGTATGTATGTAATGATAAAAGATGCAGATTGGTAAAAAAGGGGTGGTGGATTAAGAATACGGAGTGTTACCACCCCGATTCATCCCGTGGGTGTCGTTAGAGCCGATTAAGGGAGCAAACTACGCAGGACAAAAGCAATGCAAAGAGAAGGAATACTTGAAACAAACCCTATAGATAGCCGTCTGGCCAGTGTGGTATAGTAGGCCAAAACCTCCTTTCTAAGGAGACGCCTATGGCCACCAGTGAACTATTAAAAGCTGTTCTTTCTCTTTGCAGTGCTGATGTCCTGCATAGTTTGCTCCCTTGGTCGGCTCTTATTTAACATACAGTTTTTTCTGAATAAATAAAGTAATAAAGTTTTTTTTTCTTGGTAAAATGGGCAAATTAGCAGATGGGTCACCGGCACGGGGTGATGGTCCGTAACTACCCATTGAACACCTGCAACTCAAAGGTCACAAGTGCGTTGCGCGGTGCCCTTGGAGTCCCTCCCACTCTAGTCAGCGAGAGGGGGGATTTCACACTCAGTGAAAAAACAACGAAATAATTGCTAAAAGAAAATATGAACAAATAAACATTGAAATTTAGATAAATTTCAATTAGATCAATTTAAAAGCCAGTATTTCTGTGAGGCCGTGATATCAAGCCCGTCGAGCCGGTCCGTATAACTTTTAAATTGATCTAATTGAAATTTATCTAAATTTCAATGTTTATTTGTTCATATTTTCTTTTTTGGTTCTGCTTCTTTAGGATCATATCCTGTGTCATGGGACTTTACAAACATACATGAAACGGACACAAAGAACACCCAGACTCAGAACAACTATTTGTGGATCACACAAAGTTTCGTCGCATGTGTGGTTTGAACCCACAACACTCAGCGCAGTAGAAAGTGGCGAGGTGACCGCTTATTATTATTATTATCCTCTTTATTACATTATAGATACATATTGATTACATTTTTAAATATGAAAGAAAAAAAACATTTAAAAATATAAAAAATAGTAGACTTCTGGTTAAGAATCCAAAGGCAGGAACCTCCTCACTATACGAGCCGTGTAAAGGAGAACTGCCTTCTGCATCAGACCCTTAATCTAGCTGTCTAACGTGAGCCTCTTAAGGTGTTGGTCGAGGCTCTTGGCTATCAATCCGTGAGCAGATACGACTATCGGAACAATGATCACTGAATCGACATTCCACATATCGACAATCTCGTGAGATAAATCCAAATATTTTTTTTGTTTTTCTTTTTCTACTTTTACGAGATTCTCGTCATGAGGAACGGCGATATCAACAATCATAGCGCGGCGCTCTAATCAATCTATCACTACAATATCAGGCTTATTGGCAACAATAGTCCTGTCTGTGATAACAGATCGAACCCAATATAACGTGGCCCGACCATTCTCGAAAACTGGGTCGGGCACATACCTATAGTATGGCACCTCTAGATTTACAAGTTGGTATTTAAGGGCAAGCTGTTGGTGTACGATTCTGGCTACTTGGTTGTGCCTATGCAAATATTCTCCGTTAGCGAGACGAGAACAATCAGAAATAATATGCCCGATTGATTCCCCAGGAAGGTGACATGCCCGACAGATGTCAACCGTACCATCTTTCAGGATATATTTAGTTATTCGTCATGATAACTTCATTCATAATCGCACAAACAAAACCTTTAGTTTATCCGAAGAGATCACCATACCGTAGATGTCGTCGCCGTCGTAGATGCTTTTAAGTCTATATCGGACCCATTTAGGGCCGGATAAACCCGACCATGGAGCTTTTTGCCCTTCCATACTTCCCTGCGACCATTAGTACTATGTACTATAGGTTCGCGCTTATTCTCTTTAGCCAGAGCGATTAATGAGAGTGCTGATTAATACACTGTAACTACTTTGCAATGCACTCCCACATCAGTATGTAGAAAATATTCTCTGACATTGTATATCTCGCGATTGTGTAGGGTCTTGATATTTAATAGTCCGCGACCCTCAAACTTTCGTGTTATGTACAATCTCATAATCGATGAACGTGGGTGGTGCATTCGGAATGCAGTCAGCTCGTGAATGCAGTACGAACTCTCCGGTCAAGGACATCTAATTCGGTCTGAGTCCATCTAAGTATACCAAAGGAATACATCAGAACCGGCATGACCCAACTATTGCAGGCTCGCACCTTCTTGCCCCCTGATAAAAGACTTTTAAGTACTTTTTTCAGGCGGCCAAAAAAGCGTTCCTGCAACGTTTGTTTTATGACAGATTCTGGTATTCCCAACGACTGTGGATACTTGTATGTTTCAGAGGCAGAGAGAGATCTGGGGTTTGTTGAATCTGAAAGCGTTATTCCTTCAGATTCTACTATCACGCCCTACTTTACATACATGACTGCACACTTGTCTACACCAAATTTCATCTTGATGGAATTACTAAAGTTTTCCGTCAGCTTTAGTAACGCTGTCACTTGTAATTTAGTGGGATATAACTTAATCATCTCTCTGCAACCTATAGCCTAACCCTGAACCCTCTAATAGAGTGCTGAGAGGGTTCAAAGCCAGAGAAAACCACAAGGGACTCAGACTATCACCTTGAAATATACCCCGCTCGATCTTTATTAGCATATCGTTTACCGCAGTCTGCCGACATCCTGGATAGCGAAGTGCTGTTCTCCTTTGCCCTATACATGACTCCAAGAAAGTGCACAGAGTTGTATCAATTTTGTACAACTCCAGCACCTTCAAAAGCCACGTGCGTGGAACCGAGTCATAAGCCTTCTCATAGTCTATCCAACATGTCGCCAAACTCTTACGATTACGACATACCTGTTGGCTAATGGACATGTCTATGATAAGGAGCTCTTTAGTGCCACGGGTCCCACTTCTACATCCATTCTGAGAAACTGACATAATCGTATTATTATTAATGTCTAAAGTAATTTTGAATCTCAAAATAGATCTTAGAAGTTTATACATCTCTGGTAAACACGTGATAGGTCTAAAATTTTTGGGATCCATGACACTACCAGACTTATAGAGTAAGTGGGTTATGCCAGAGGTTAAAAATTGGGTTAAAGAACCCTAGTCCAATGCTGTCTGGAATGGAAATGCGAAGCACGCATGTGAGCTTTGAAACCACTTAAGCCAAAAGTTGTGCAGTCCGTCTGGGTCAGGTGACTTCCAATTCAGTAAGGAACAGACTGCACAGCTTACATCATCCCTATCAATAGTAACATGGTCCATAGGTGTTATTGACTCACATGAGTGTCTGTCATCCCGTAACCAATCACCTTCTATATGAGTGACAGGCACCGACCAGATGTTAAGCCTAAATGTATTTGTGACATTTTCTTCTGGCAAATGTCCAACACATGGATCCGGTTCCTCACATTTCCGGTATACCCACTTCTCATTTCTTTGGAACATTCCTACATTAACATCAGCTACTCAACAAGCTGCAATAGCTGCACAGTATAGAATAGAATGTGTATCACTAAGATATTCACTATCGTCTAAATTTTTTATTATTATAGGCAATGAGAGAGATGGATAATAGATAGTGCCCTCTATCTCTTTCTAGTCGAGCGTTAGGTTAGATGGTAATATTCATAATCTGCAGACTGTTCAAAACCATGCCCACTTCACGATAGCCAATCGCAGTTTAGCTCATCTCGTAATTGTTGCTTGTATGGCTTCCACTTACAGACAGCTATACCCCAGGAGTCACTTACAATCAGATGACTAAAATGCTCGTTTACCCATATGCCATAGGAAAAAGGCAAAAACTTAGGGTAATACTAAAATATTAATGTGTGACACAATTCATCCGCCAGCTCTCTTTCTGCATATTAATCTATTAAGGCTTGCAGTCTCTTTGACCACTTTGTTACTTGCCAATTGGAGTTTTAACTTGTGTATACTCTTATAAGGAACAAAGGATACTTTCATTTTCAATAAAAATAATTAAAAGTATTATGTTTAAAACGCTGCTTTAAGGAAGCCGCAAAAATAAATTTTAGTTTACCTGTAGACTATTAGGTTTATGTAAGGCAAATATGTTTCATTTTGTGAAAAATACATTAAAGTACTTACTTTTAAAGCCATAACTTCTTCGTAATAGAACTTTAATTGGTAAAGATTGAAGTTATACATTTTTGCTTCAGTCCGGAGACATATTCTACATACTTTTAAGTCAGACATATTGCTATACAATTAATTTACAGGCTTATCATTTAATAAAAAAGTATTTACAAGTAAACCACATACGAAATATTCATTCTCCAGGCAAATGCCATAGGCCATATTTGTTTACCTGTCAAATTGAACAACGATCTGTCATTTGTCAAAAATTCAAAATCCATAGACAAAAGTTTTTTTGTCACTTATGAGTTTTAATTTTGTTAAAATTAGTTATTATCCTACTGATTATTCTTGTGCTGTTCCTTAATCTTAGAATACTAGTGTTAAATGACGTATGACGTAATTACACGGCGTTTACTATTTCGAGGTGTTAAAAAACAGATTTAAAAAACTGAAAACTTTGAATTTTGAAGTTAATTTTATTATTTTATAAAAGAAAACCAACATTTTCCGGCTACTTTTTTACTAATCCCAATAATATATTTATAGGTTTTTCTCATAGAGTAAAATGCCTTATTGTATCAAGCTATCGTAAAATATCTAACTTTTGAATGATGTGCGTGAAGTTATAGAGTTTAGAGCCTACGAGTACTACCTTGTATGGACTGCAAACCCAAAAAAAGTGTCCAACAAAGAGCAGCAAATATATTCATTCTAAAACCGGCCATGACGAACACATAGCTGTCAAAGTCGGAGTGCAGCTTGCTGAGTTAAAGTATAATACAGTTTTATTGTCCGTAAAACGCTCTTTAGGAATGTTTTCGCAGTCTAGTTCAGTGTCCCCTTGTTTTTATTTATTTTATTTACTTATACTGTACTTACATTATCGTCGCAGATAGACCAATACAATAATGCAAGACTTACAAAAATACAATCAAACCTATGATAAAATACGTAAATGAAAAAAACACAATCTTTTTCTTGCCATGTGATTATGTTTTATTTGTTTGTTGCAATAACTATTGCATTTTATGAAATTCTATTGATAGTGCAGTTAGTTTCGAGTAGGGTGCAGTTTTTCCACTGTGCAAAAAGTACGAAATCGAAGTATTTCAAGTGATATAGATTTATTTATTTTTTACTCGTAAACTAAGAGGGTGCTGTTTTAATAATAAATAATTTTGGAAAGTGCTAGTTAAGGTGCATCGATTGTTTTTCTCAAATTTACAGGCTGGGGGGGGGGGGGGGACGAGGCCCAAGATCGTGGTCATCATGACGTACCATAATTGACAATTTAGACAATTCGATCGAATCGGTTCCAATCCGAACCGTTGAAATTGCAGTAAACATCGGCTTGAACCGTATGATGAGTTCAGTTGAATGTAACATACGAAAGCAATGTGCAACATGATCCGTTGGGATCCATTAAACCGTCATTTTACGGTTTACCAACGGTTTGCAAAGGAGTTTGCATAGAAGTGTAAAACTTGACATTACCTACACTAACCGGCGATCGACGTGGCGACGGTATGAATTGATTGATAGTTTGTAGAGAGCCTTAGCTAGTAGTTTGTTGTGTGCCCTTAGGCAACATAACAAACTACTAGCTAAGTACATGTATTCATAACACAGTAAATGAGATGACGACGAAGAAGAAATGTCTACCGTAAGTACTAGTACTAGCTTTACGTAATAAAGTTATTTGATGGAAACTGTCACAATAATTTTATTAGGAAAATATTTGTTAAACAAAAAAAATACCTAGATGCTTTTTTTTATTAAAACTTTAACTAAAACCATATTATCTTATCATAGAATCAATAAGAAGTTACGTAGAACTACATTACACATACCTACTAATTTATTTTTTCTTAGTAAGTTTTCGTAAACTCGTCGATCTAGCTTTTAGACTTCTAAACTAAGACCCGAGTAAATCTGTGTAAAAAAAATGTGCGAAAAATTGCGACAAAATTTGGGAGAATATAGATCTTCGCTAGGTGCCCCAGTTTTTGAGATACAAGCGTTGCCCTGCTGGGGAGACTGACTCCAGCAGGGCCACCTATAAACGCTTATAACTTTTGAACCAGTGACCGACAAATTCTGATATTTGGCGACAAATAAAAGACTAATTTTTGTGTTATTTAAATTAAAATCCATGATGGTGGCCCTGCCAGGGTCAATGACACGACAAAATGGCGTATCTACGATGACGATAATTTGGAAAATATTTTCTATGTTGTCAAATAGCCTATTTCCAAAAAATGGAATTTAGAGCGGAAATGAGATAAAAAAAAAAAAACAGAAATAGTAAAAACAATACTTTACTACAATTTTAAATACAAAAACAATCATATAAAGGGTACACTTAATTCCTGGATTTATTTCATACTCAGGAAATAATATTTCAAAACTTATAAGCGCAGCTTATTATACTGTAGAGTAACACTAGTTATATATTAATATTAGTTTACTTAGATCTATAATTACATTTCTAGAAATAAAATTATTTCATTTCTACAATCACTTCCACTAGCTATCAAAATTAGAGAATGTCGCCACATTAGACTAAACAATAAGAGATATTCTGCTAATAATCCATTTGCGTTAAGAAAAGAGTGACGCATTGACTAAGCGTACGGGACTTGATCGATGCGTCACTATTTTGTTAACGCGAACGGACTACAGGTTATTCAAATAATACTAACATTCACTACTTATAACCGAAAGCGAAAAAAGATACTCGTCCAATGTCGGTTACTTTTTGGCGGATCTTTTAAATTATTACGTTTGTGCAAATCTCGATGTATAAGTATTATTTATTAATATTATTGACAGCTGTAAGGGATCAATCTTCAAATTTTTGTGCTACGTTTAAAAACGTATGACTTTGTTGAAACATGTCATGTAATAGTCCCGTTCATTAGAGATAATTTTAAGGACACACGGCAAACGAATCCTGTGATTTTAATTAACAACCCACCCCCCTTTTGGGAAGGGGGGGGGCTCAAAGGCGGCAATGCAATTGTGACTTGAGTCAAAAGTGACCGTCGGTGGTAGTAATCACTTACCTCTTTGGGCCCTCTCTATACTACTAATATTATAAACGCGAGAATATGTCTGTCTGTCTGTTACCTTTACGCTTAAACCGCTAAACCGATTTAGATAAAATTTGGCAGAGGAAAATTTTGAGTCTCGGGAAAGGGCATAGGATGGTTTTCATCCCATAAATCATCCTTTAAGGGGTAAAAAGGGGGGATGGAAGTTTGCATGGAGAATCAATAACCGCTATAATAATTTTTGAAGAACGACATGGGCTACTGTTTACCGCAATAAAAGACATAAACGTGGGCGGAGCCGCGGGTAAAACTAGTATTATATATATTTAAAAAAACTGGTATGAGCGTCGGCGTTCGGTTTCGCCGCATGTTGTCTCTACTTAGAAATAGACCGGAATGTTTTTTTTTCTAGAAAAATGCTTCATTTAGGAGTATTTTAGTTGTACTTATTCCAGAACACAAGAAAGGCAAAATAATTTCAAGGCCATCTGTCCAGGGTTAAGTTCTCGTCTGACTCTTCAGGTGGATATTCTTCCAGTTTACTTCCAGAACCTTCTTCTGATTTCTTCTTTCTATTTCTAGAATTAAAATATTAGATGTTGAATAACATAGATTCTTCCAAAACAATTTAAAACAGGCTTCTACGGGCCTGTCGGTATAGTGGTTAGTGACCGTGACTGCTAAGCCGGAGGATGTGGGTTCGATTCCCACCTAGAATAAATATTGTGTGATGAGCACAGTCATTTGTTCTGAGTCTGGGTGTAATTTATCTATAATATGGATGTATTTAGAAATATATAAGTATGTTTATCAGCAGTCTGGTTACCATAGTACAGGCTCTGCTTAGTTTGGGATCAGACGGCCCTGTGTGAGATGATGATATTATAAAGCTAATGAGTTTGATTGTACGCGCTAATCTCAGGAATTAAGTGTTCGAATTGAAAAATTCTTCAATGTTGGATATTCCATTTGTCAAGGAAGGCTACAGAGCATATAACACCACTCTACGACCAACAGGAGTCGGGCTACAATGAAAAATGTTGAAAAAACCGGGAAAATTTATTCCTAGCTGACTAACTAGTTCCCTCTGAGTAATTATTTTTTAAAGACCACTCCCGCATGAGGAATATATATTAGGGTGTCAATGTATGGGTTTTTTTTTTTAAAGCGACGGCTACGCAAGACGTATCAAAAGTTGCGTTTTTGTGAATAGATTACAAATATAACAAAATTTAATTAAATATTTGTCATCTTTAGGCCTCTACCGATCCTAGAAGTTTTTCAAATTTGCCATTTTTAGAGGTTTCGAACATAAACTATAAATGATACAAAAATAATGTTTTAAAGGTTTTAATCAAATTTATAGGTACTACAAAGACATAAGGTAATGTTCAGTAAAGTTTAAATACTTATAATTAGTGCTTATTTCAAATACGAAATTGGTTCTTGTGGCCAAAATTAGGCATTTCCGCGCGAGATTTTAATCTGTTTCTGATTAAACCATCCCGAGCTGTAGCGTCCGTGACACTTAGAGAAGCCTCCGTCACTAGCTTTACACATCTTTCCACTGATTGTGTATGACAGGGGAAATCAATAACATCGAAGCTTTGTTCTTTAGCCTTAATTCTCAGTTCGTCGTCGGACATCTGTCGCAAAATCGGTGGAGCGGATATCTCACACTCTTGCCAAAATATCAAATCGATGTAATATCGCGCATCGAAGTTAAGTTTTGGTACTTTAAATACCCTGCGAGAATTGCTTATTTCTGCTTCTCTTGCCTTTAATATTTTGCGAGCTGCAAGCTCTCGAATATGCTCTCTGTCTTCGAATAGCATGGTAACAAGTAAGTTTTCACAATTTCGAATTCACTCATTTTCAATTTCAATTTCGAATTCACAATAGATCTTTGCTTATCAGGCAAAAATCGGGAGTATGTAACCATTTGAAAAATATGATTGGCTCCATCTTTGAATGATGAGTTTTTCTTAATGAGGAACCAAACTGGAGCATAAACTTTGACCACATAATTGACAAGCAGCTTTAAATTATTTGATGGCGAAACAGTACTTACATAAAGTCTGAGTATGCGATTGGCAGTAGTTAGCCATCTTGAATGCGCCATTTTTCCAGGTTGGCGGCTCGCTAACTCAGGGGAACAAGAACCAGTCGTCACAGCATGACACATTTCATACAGATACTTTTGATTATTACTACTGATTGATGATTGATTACTTTTGTACTTAGTTCCTTCACAATGTCATCAGGTAATTCGAGCAAATTGCCAGCCACTGCACAAAAAGACACTAGTGGTTTACTTTCACAAACATTTAGCTGTTTTCCAATAGGTCCTGAGTATTCTTTCGGCCCAGATGTGCTACCATCTAGAGACATAAACAAATGGCGAAGCGGTAATTCATTTGTGTGAAGCATACAAACACACCATTGTAACGGTCTCTTCAAATAGTCTTCCAGGTATTTAATGACACCTCCTTTCCAACCTGTATTTGTAGGAGTGCCATCGCAACCCACACAACTTACTTCTTCTAAGTTCCATCCTTGATTTTCTAACAATTCTATAATAGAAGTGACAATCCCTTTCGCAGTACCTCGACTCGGCGTCGTATGTCCCAAGTAAATAGATCCCGGCTCTGTAAGAACTGAAATGTGTTCTTCTAAGACTTCTTTTCGGTGGTACCGGCTGTCTATTTTATTGATCTTGAGAGTTTTATCTTTTCGCCCATCGAAGTAGATACTCTTTATAATAATTTTATCGATGTCTTTGTTGGCTTGGGTACGTGACTTTGAAACAGCTCTGTGAAACTTATTTTTATCAATCACAAGGTTTAGATCTTCGGAAGATACCATTCCTACGTCAACTAAGACTGCTGAAGCGACTGCAGCTGCCGAACGCGTTGATAGTCCGTATCGATCACATACCTTAGCTACTGTTGGCAGCGTCAGAGTGTTCCGACTAAATGAATTAGATGGAGACTCCTTTAAGTCACTTTTAGTAGAAGGTTCTATTGAAAGCGACTGTTAACGAGGCGGCAACACGCGTACCGGTACAGTATCGGTTTGTGAAGTACTCGGAAAACATGCTTGCTCTGTCCGCTTCAAATTTTCTTGTCTTTGATGTTTCTTTAAAAGCCTTGCAGTTTATTTTGCGTCTACGCCGCTTATTGCCATTTTCCTATCATTTCTTTGGTCCAGTAAAAAAATTCTTTCAGAAATGGGAACTTTCTTGGGTTTAGTGCAGGAACAATTTTCAAACGAAGTGCACTTACAAGCAGCGATGTCAAAAAGCTTATTTGACGATTCCAAAAAGCACTTAACTTTGTTGTCATAGCTATCGTTTCTATTACTTTTAGGATATCTTATTAGTGATAAATATTTGTTAAAATATGCGGTTAGCAGTTGAGTAACCCGTACGTTAGAAACGATGGGAATTGAAGCTTTGGTCAAAATTGTGTTAAGTTTTCCAGAAGCTATTGAAAAGACTTCTGTGTTCGATGGATCTTTTCCGTTTTTCTGTAGTTTTAATTCACTTTTAGTAAATAAAATGCACTTAATAACGTCTTTTATAACAGGTAATTGGCGATCGTCAAGTTCTTTATAAGGTCCCAATATAGTACAACTAGTCTCACTTCGCCTTGAACACATTTTTATGATTAAGTAACGCAAATTCCGTTTTTCTTTCAAAGAAGAATAGAACAACTACTTACAAGAGTAAAATCGAAATAGAAATGAGACGAACTGTCTTGTTGTAGAAGTAGCGCACGTACGAAAATCAAGTCAAAACATGAATTTTGTAGGAATTTTGCAAGTCCGATCCAAACCGATTGATCGCTAAAACAACCTGTAGATACTTGCAAATCATAGCCGAGGCTTTTCTTACTGATAAAATTACAAGACAAAACAGGATTGATTCATAAAACATAGAATATACGACATTGACTACAAGGTTGTTTTTGCGAATTTTCAGTAAATGAAAATGCTGGTAGAGCCCTAAGGATATTTTTAAATATTTTTTGAATTATTTTTACGCTAATCTACGTCTAACAGCGCAACTTTTAAGAGGTCTTAAGTAGCTAAAATAAGAATAAAAAAAATTTCGGGACACCCTAATATATATCCTGTGTCGCGGGGGATTTCACAAACACACATGAAACAACACAAAAAACACCCAGACTCAGAAAAACAATTTGTGGATCACACAAAGTGTCGTCCCATGTGGGGCGATCCACAACACTCAGCGTAGTAGTGAGCAGCGTGGTGACCGCTTAAACCACTACGCCATCCGTACAGTCAATTTACCTCTTTGGATATGGTTCCTTGAGGTGGAACGTTCGGTAGTGTAATTTCATACTGCTGGTCTGTTTAAATCGTTTATCACATAGTGTGCAAGCCACGGGCTTCTCGCTCGTATGTGTCTGAAAAAAAAAACAATAATAAATAAACCTACATCACACAAAAAGTATAACCTGAAGATTATTTATGAATCAAAATCTATGAAGGCCAATGAGCAGATGGGTGGTGGAATAACTGACGTCACTTGAGTCCCTTCCCCCAGAGTTAGAGAGAGAAATCTTGATAAGCAAATAGAAACTTACATCCGAACGAAGAACGAACACATTCCCAAGATTGGGCGTCATCAGGCAGACCGGCCGGTCATAAAAGAAAAAGCGTCTGCCCGAAATACGGCTAGAGTGAGAGAGGAGGAACCTGCCTACTGCTACCATATGCGTGAGAGAAAGGGAAGCCAGACAGACTGGCGCCGTAACGCGTTACGTAACCAAGCGGTTTACCCTCCCATAAGAAGTTATCACTTCAAAAACCATTTGGTAATGAAATGAAGGAGTGCGTGAAAGGGGATGTCGAGTGATCAAGGAGAATAGATGAAGAAAACCGCACAGACTGCAAATAGATGATGATGATCTTTCACATTCAAAGAAATAGAAACATACTACAGCGCCATCTAACGAAGACACACCGAGCTACGGAGTAACTACTGAATGAGATAATCCTGTATCACGACATAAAGAATTCTCTCGCTGATTAGCATATAGAACTTCCCAACATCAACCGTTGGGCCGCAGCCCGCCAGGCATGATCACCTCGCCTGGTCGGAGGATCTCTTTGTGTTGGAGGGACATGACACCCGTTTCTCCACAATGCGTATGGACCCGACGACCTCTGGATCGGCTATCAGGTACTGTACACAGAGCACTAGATGAAGGGGCTTAGAAGGGGTTGAAAAAAATATTTTATTTTCTGTAATACCTGCGTTAATATAGGTGGGTATAGTAATTCAGTGTTAACTCACCAGCTGGTGTGTGGTCATGCCACCTTTGCTGTTGAACTGTCTACCACAAGTGCTGCAGGAGTATAACTTCTCCCGGGTGTGAGTGTTTAGATGACTGGAGACGCTGCCGGGCTGCAAATAACAAACATGGTAATTTGAGTGTCATATCAAATATATTCTCTTCGTTAAAGGTCAGTTTACAAGATACAGTCTTGTATTGTATTGTTACTTATATTATTCTTTAATTTTAATCATTAGCAGCCTTTAGAAGTCCACTGCTGGACATAGGCCTGTCTTTAGAAAGGTTTTAGCCTTTTTTTTTTACGTGTGGAAATCCCCTCGGACCGTCACCCCGCCGGGGCTCTCGTTCGGCGGGGCGGTGTGTCGGACTCGAACCGACTAAAACCACACGGTGTGCAGTTTAGGAGGGGTCCAGGTAGCTATCGCCTTCTGGACCCCTCCCAGCGCCGGCCCGCTCCTGGCGCGGGCTCCGTCTCAAGGGCCTCTCAGAAAGGTTTTAGCCTACTATACCACACTGGCTAGGTTGGTATAGGGTTTGTATCAAGTTTACCTTCCCTTTGCAGTGTTATTGTCGCGCGTAGTTTGCTTCCTTAGTCGGTTTTTACGAAATCCACGGGACGAATAGGGGTGGTGACACTTCATATTTTCAATCCGTTACCACACCGACCTTATTTGTGTTTAATGTGTTTTTTAAATAACTATAATTCTTTTTTGGACACAATAAGGTAGTTCACTGTGAAGTCGATTCCTCTTTATTAAACGTCAAAAAAGGACGTTCTGTAATACTTTGAATGAAGTTAAGAATTATGACGTAATACACAACTATCTCAAAATTATATTAATACGAGGGCGGGTCAATAAGTCCGTGACTTTTGGAATAAAACACAGATTTTTTGATAAATAAATCATTTTATTTTTCAACGTAGTCTCCCTTGAGCTCTATACACTTTGTCCAACGCTTCTCCAATTTTTTTATCCCTTCCAAAAAATATGATTTGTCGAGGTCCTCAAAATAGGCCTTTGTTTGCGGAATGACTTCATCATTGGAGTCAAATCTTTTTCCACCAAGGCATTTCTTCAGGTTTGGGAACAAGAAGTAGTCACTCGGAGCCAAATCTGGAGAATAGGGCGGATGAGGGAGCAATTCATAGCCCAATTCATGGATTTTTGCCATGGCAACTGCACATGTGTGCACCCTTGCATTGTCTTGGTGGAAAAGAACTTTTTTCTTGGCCAAATAAGGTCGGTTTTGTTTCAAACCGTCATTGAATCGGTCCAATAAGTTGGCATAATATTCCCCATTGATTGTTCTTCCCTTTTGAAGGTAGTCAATGTGGATTATCCCGCGTGCATCCCAAAAGACACTCGCCATAACTTTATTGGCTGACAAACCCATCTTGGCCTTCTTTGGCGCCGATTCACCCTTAGAAACCCACTGTTTTGACTGTTGTTTGGTCTCTGGTGTGTTGTGATGGATCCATGTTTCGTCCACGGTTACAAAACAAAAACTCCTCCATATTGCGATTAAACAACGCCAAACCTTCCTGTGAAGTTGTTACACGATTGCATTTGTGGTCGACTGTGAGCAATCGCGGCACCCATCTTGCGGAAAGCTTTCTCATGCCCAAGTGATCATTCAAAATTTAAACCACTGAGCCATGCGAGATCCCTACGGCTTCCACAATCTCTTGCACTTTCAATCTTCGGTCGGCCAACACCATATCGTGAATTTTTTCGATTGTTTCGGGTGAAGAGACCTCAACTGGGCGTCCAGGACGTTCGGCATCTTCAGTGCTTGTACGGCTACAACGAAATTCAGTAAACCACTTTTTTACCATTGAAATCGATAGTGCAGAGTCCCCATAGTATTTATCAAGCTTAGCCTTGGTCTCGGTAATGGTTTTTTTTTCGCAAAAAATAATGCTTAATAAGCACACGAAATTCACTTTTTTCCATTTTTTTCTCAAATTACTGGGTAGTCTGATAAAGATAGCTGTCAAACACAAACTAACTGACGCAGCAAGTTCAAATTTTGACAGGAGTCAACTGACAGATGCCTGTTGACAGGAGTAGTGTTGCTTTTTCAGTAAAGAGGTCAGAAATTCAAAAAGTCACGGACTTATTGACCCGCCCTCGTATATATAATTAAATTAATTATATTAATTATTTAATGTAAACTATCGTTCCAGTAGAAAATATCATGCGTACGTGTGTCAAACAACAACAACAACATATTCATCACACAATTATTAGTCCCGGGTGGGAATCGAACCCACGAGCTGTGGTTATCAGGGCCGGGTGCGGGTGAGCACTGACCGCCAGCGACATGCCGCAGATCTCGCAGATGTGGCGCTCGTTGGGCGCGAAGAAGGAAGTGCGCGGGTGCTCCGCCAGGTGGTGCTTGCGGCACGCCGCCTGCGTCGAGAAGTGCTTGCCGCACTGGGGAACGCAAGCGAATTAACACTTTAATACCGAGCCCTTAAAATACATTATAAGTTTTACTACAGTTTATTCGCGTTAAGAAAATAGTGACGCATCGATCGAGAATCGACCCCTGGTCGATCAGATTCTATGAAATTATCGTTTCGAGTACTGATTGGTCAGGGTTCGAGGCTATTTTCTTAACGCGAACGGATTTCAGTTCTTCTATATTGTTGTGTTTTTTTTTATGGGACTAATCCCTCCCGACCACCCACCACTGTAACTCCTCTACGCCAGAAACGACAGCAGTGACCCACGAACACACCGAGTTATGATACTCGGGACATCCCAAGAAAAAATTAACTGTCTTGGACCCCGCAACGAAATTAATCAGAAGAAAATTGGAGGAGTTGGAAAAAGAGTAAACCCACTTCCCTCCTTAACAAAAGATAGAAGTCGATTTGAGACAAAATGAAGTACAATAGGCATACACTCTTTTAAACAGGGAAGCATATTTAATTTCTATAATATGTACGACAGAATCGCCTAAATGCAAGGAAATTCACCCTTTTTTGCGGG